CAGCATTGTGTGTACCCAGGGGGAAGTCAATCGACGTGGGATATGTCCCTGACTTGGTTCCTCGTTACGCGTCATTTTCGCAGGAACGCAAAGTAATTATAGGGGACCACAGGTGTTGATCGTACGGAGCTAGTCGGGTCTTGGTGACGCTGCACTACAGAGGTCAAGCAGGACGTTTTTTTTGCCCTGTCAACATGGCCCACGACTTGGCGGAATTGGTCGCCGTCGTTTGCTCGAAAATAAATCCATGGCATGGCACATGTCTTTAACAACACAGCATCGAGCCTTGCCTGGAAGTAGAACGTTGATTCGAACACAACTATTATCACCAAAGAGAGATGATTCGTTCGGAACTGCAACGCAAAAAGAGATGTTCATGATTTCATGATAATGATCTCTCAAACATATATGTAAAAAACACTAGACGCGACAACCGAAATCAGACAGCTTCGAATCCGATTTCGAAAGTAGTGAAGGGGCCACCGGGTAAACTCCGTCCAACATCCTCTTCTCGACGAGGGTCGGTTCTGCAAAGATGTACCACCTAACACGAGGCTGGAACCATGCTTTCCGCTTTGTGGCAAGCCCTCACCCGTCTCTGAAAGGATGACACCTTCGGGCACAACGACACAAAAAAATATCATTTATACAACTAGATCATACCTGGTACTCTTCAAGAGAGAACGACGTTTTTACGTGACTCAGAAACATCCATTTGATGCCGAAAAGCGTGCTGATTGGTCATGGATACCTAACCATCTAATATCCCACTATTACCGCTGGGTGGAAGCCCTCCCCCGTCTCCGAGAGACCGACACCTTCGGGCGCAAAGGCAAAAAATCGTCTTCATTTGCGAAAAAAAGGAATCGTCCTCGACAGACGTTGGGGAGATTGTACCCTTAATAAGGGGATCTCCACTTCCCCCCCCCCCCCCCCCTTTTTCTTCTTGGTTGCTAGGCAAGAAGGGTTCTACGGGTGACCGGAACCCGACCGACAAATACGCGAACGATTTCATAACATTCTTCAAAGACAACAGGCGTTGAGTGACTCAAAAACATTCATTTTCCCCGCGTTAACGACACACTTTCACAATTTTTTGGAAGGCAGGTCGCTGATTGGTAAAATAACCTGCGGCGGGATTTCAAAAAACAGGCACGCCCCAAGATCCTTGGGCGACGGGTGGCGCCAACCACGGTGACCTCAAGAGCTTTGACTGGCCATGGATACTACACAAACTATCTGGGTTTCGTTGGTTTCGTTGTAGAACTAGGGGGCGTGACGACGCTCTCGCCAAGACTCGGTCGTAGATTTCCCCACCACAATCCCGCCTCATGTCCACGGCAAAAAGTTCGCGTGCAGCACAGCGCCGACGACGAAGTACGCCCCGAGGTACCACCGTAAGCACGTTCCAAGTGCCGCCGGTGCCCCACCCGCCGCCTCCTTTCCGGCTCCATCGCGCCCTTTCCCGTCCCTGACCAGAAGGCTAGCAGTCCACCAGTGGAGCGGGGGGCAAGCGGCGGCTAGGAAGCGGGTTGCGACCTGGACGTTCATGCACAAAGCGGCGAAGAAGGCGAAGAAGGCCCACTGCGCCATCAGCGCCGCCGCTCCGGTGCGCTCGAACGGCGAAGCCGCAGGGTGCGGCAGCTTCGGGTCGCCGAAAAAGACATCCGCCAGCTTCAGTACCCATCTCCGAGCAAAGCACATGCCCCTAGCCCATGGATGTGGTCCCGGCGTGTTGCTGCCACCACCCCCGTTGCCGCCGCTACCACGGGAAGAATCACACCCTTCCTCTGCCGTAGTCGCGCGAAGCGACCGCTGGGCGGAGAAAAAACACGCGATTCCGTGGGCCGTCAGGATCAGCGCCGGGGCCGCTAGCAAAAAATTGGGGATCTGTTTCCACTGGTAGTACCGGAAGGCTCCCACGTTCCAGTACGTCGACTGGACGTGCGCGTAGACGCTCGGCACTCTCCAGGCGCACCAGGGGTGAAGCTGCTCCATGGTTAGGCTTGGAAGCTTTGCTGCCAATGGGCTACTGCCGTCGGCACCCCCACTGTTGAGGGCGTCGCCGTTGCCACCTTCCTCCGCCAGTCTTGTCCCTGCGAGGCAGAACTTGTGGTACGCGTAAGCCTGGAAGAGAACGTACGGCGCTATGACGAGGAGCGCCTGCAGCGCGGTAACGACCAGACAGGCGGCCAGCCTCAGCCAGGCCACGGCGCCACCGTCACGCCTGCGAAAGTTCGGCGTGTGGCCGGCGGAGGTGGTGACGGCACGGTCACCACCGCCGCCGCCACCGCTGCGACTCCCAGCCCGGGTCCTCACCTCCCGGTTGTGGGTGTTAGCTGCAGCGGACGACGACCGCGCTGCTAGGGGAAACGCGGCGTCGACACCGGCGCTATTCTCGTCTTGGTTGCCGCCGCCGTCGGCGAAGAGCCCGACGTCCCTCGCCATCCAGCGCAGCTTTTCCAGAACCAGCACTCCGGCGCCGGCGATTCCGTTCGACCGGGCAAGAGTGGCCAAGGACAGTAACACCGCGGCGACCCATGTGTTCACGGCTTCGCACCCCCACCAGGCGTTAGTGCTACCCCCACTGGCGTCATGGTGCAACCCCTCCGTCCCCTGTCGATCCCCGCCGCCGCTTGAGGTGGTTCTTCTCGCCGTTCTTCGATGCCCTTCCGAGAAGAGAACCAACAGGCCAGCGAACGACAGCATGGCGTAGAGGCTCTCCGTATACGCCGTGCTGAAGAAGACGCTGGCTGGGGTGACGCAGAAGGCGAGCGCGCCTCGGCGGGCGAGGAGAGAGTCGCCCGTTACGGCCGCTCCCAGCCTGTACAGCAGCACCGCGGACGCCACAAAGCACGAGTTGCTGACGAGTACAGCGGCCAGGACGAGGCTGCTGGCCTTGTTCAAGACGAGACCGGTTGTGAGCAGGAGGGCACGGAGCGCCGCCGCGGCCCACCGCACGACCCACGGGTAGAGCGGGAAGAACGCATGGGCTTGTTCTTCCATCGGAATGTCCGGTCGGCAGCGGGGTTGCGTTTGTGCTGACGGCGCTGCCTCGTCCGTGTCCCCGCCTTCCGTGCGATCTTCCCCAAACTGTCCATACTCTCTCCACTCGTACTCCTCTCCGCCCCAAGCTCTGGTCGTTCCCCTGCAATCAATCCCATCATCATCATCACTGCCCACCGTAGGGTAAGGGTAGCCGCTGTCGGCAATGCTCAGGAACCACGCCGAGTCCCACCGCGTGAAGGCCGAAAACACTCCGCCCGGGCCGGTGCCGGCGCCGGCGCCGGCAGACGGCACGGGGAATGTTCTGGGTCGGAACTTGTGCACGCCACCGGCGTCGTGCGTGGGGAGGACAGCATTCCCGAGGACCATCAGGGCCACGGTGGCCGCCCTGGATGCCACAGCGACAGAAATCACCGTCGTGGTCGCGCCGGATCTGGTGCTGCTGCCAGGGTGGTGCTGGATTGGCGACATGGTTTTACAGACTAGCGGGGAAACGCTTGTCGCCAAGATTTGACGCGTGCGGAGGAACGAAGGAGCGGTGGCTATGCGGTAAGCGATCACTGCTGTATAATGGAGAGCAATTTATACCCCAACAGGAGCGGCACCCGCATCACAGCCTCCGCCTCTTTGTGAGCCTTGATTGATAGAAGACCGGCTGTTGTGAAATGCGGCGGGATGAAGGGCTTCCAATGAGTTCTGGAAGCTTTTTGGTAGGGGGCGTTTTTACGTTTCGATGATATTTTCGGGTCAAAAGTCCCCCCCCTAAGACACATTTGCCGAGTTCTGTACTGCATGCTCTCTCGTCATCGAATCTCTCCACCCACCCATTAACCACCGGTGTGCCAAGTCTACGACCGTGCTGCACTCCTCGCCCACCAAGGTTGTGTGCGGTTGCTTGTCAAGCAAGACGGCACGAGAGACAGACAGACAGACGGAAAGATGTCTGGCATAGGCGACATGCTGGGCGTCTGGGAGATCAAGGAGGTGAAAGGGCGCCCTCGACAGGCTGACGCCCGAGAGCTGCTCCAGAAGCTAGCTGACCAGGCGAGCCCCACCACCACTGAACTAGCAACTGCTGGTGAATAGAAACGTGCCCAGTTGTTCGCCAGCAGGAGAGATAGATGCCTTTGGCGTTTGCGAAAATCGTGTTGCTTGCTGCACCGTGTTTGCTGGTGCAGCTTCCCCGCTCTCTCATGCGAATTCGCGATGTGTCGGCGCCGCTTCAAATGTGGTGAAGCAGGACTCGAGACGTGCCCTACCGAACACATAGCATACGTTTTGCCAAGAATTGTGGTGGCTGCCGCCGAGTGGATTTTGGTCGGTGCCGTGCGCTTTGGTCTGGTTCGTTGGCCAGAAAGGGAGACTTTTTCGAAATTTCAAACGGTTTGGTTCTCTCTCGGGCACACACACGGGAACGGGAAGCTACACATACCCCTCGGCAGGCTCATCAGGCATGATGCTGTGTTTGTTCTCCTGTAACACTGTAGTTAGCATCGACCGCGCTGACCGGGTTAGCCAACGACAAGGCGTCAGGTGCACTTCCGGTGTTATAGATTATATACATATACGACTACTGTATTCAAATTTTGTACAGCAGTATACAATTTTCTTCTTTGGGGTTCGCTCAGGTTCGCTAGGCTCTTCGAGTCATTTGTGTCAGCTGTTGAGCTTGGAACCGTCAAACAGCAGCTGACAGTCATCGGTGGTCCTGCGGTCCTTCGACCTCCCTATGTTGCTTGCATCACCCCTTGATGAGGCTATGCTCTCGTGAGCCCACTCCGGAGGGATCACCCGTACATGTAGCAAACGTCATCACCCGTGTGCGCTTGTTTATATTTTTTAGGTAAAGCCGATTTGCGTGGCCCACAAGTGGAAGGTGGTGCTTCTGCTAGAGTTTATTCCCAACAACCCGAGTCTCCTCGGCCTGAACGTCAACCGCGGCCAGAAAATATGCATTCGCCTACGCCCACCATCCGATGAAGGTGAGACCTCCC